CTATAGTGGTTTTTTCACATGTTTATTTACTACTGACTTTACTGCTTATGTTTTATGTACCTTTCATTTCAATTTCAATTCTAATAAACGTGTATTATTATTATATATCATTTGAAATATTTGATGTACAACTATATTATCGAATGAATGAATAAATTACTGATTACTGATATAGTTATAAGGTGAAAAGAAGCATGTCATTAAAACGAACAAAACTTTTGTAATAACCTAATATTGCAGTCCATGGTTATATTCCCGACTTGACCCACACGTCGTTTCACCCGTAAAACAACTAGTACTGTAATAAGTCAGCTAACTGACTTATAACGAAAAATACTGTTTCAGGCTCTAGTGAAATTATTGCATCTGATAAGACAGGACATAGAAAGGGAGAGAAAGTCGAAAAATGGTCTGGAAGTCCTTTCCAAAGCCATCAAGCAGACACCGAGTTTTGGATCAGAAGACTCGCAGCAAAGCGTTATCGAGAAACTTCATGATGTAAGAAATTCATAACTTTATAGAAAAAAATATGGCAAATATCACTTTCTTGTAGATGAAATCCATGCTGATCTATTTGGAAGGAGCGAAATATAAAGTGCAGAGTACGTTGGCAGAACTTGATAGCAGACCTAAGACTGGGCACCCGTTAGCACCACACATAACCATAACGCGTGACAAATCAGGTCTTCAGCAGAGTGTTTTGAAAGTAAGGATTTTATATTGTACGAATAACTAAATTTTATATATTCTTGTTGGTCGTTCAGAAGGAAATTTGAATGTTTGTATTTATTGATTTTCAGAGATTTCAGCAGGTTTCATTTATTGTCCTTTATTTTCTTCATGTGATATGTCGTAGTTCATTTTGAAATCGTGGTTGGCCTCTAGAATTTGACAAGCATCTAGTTTTGAAATTTTTTTCTATACAAACTTTTGGACACGATTCACATGTTAGACCCCGGATTTGTTATCATTGTCTTTTTTTGACTTCAACGTGCTAGGACCTCATTAATCCTCAGCTCGCACAAGTTTAGACTTCTTAGAGTTGTCGTTCGTAGGAGGCTACAGCTGGTTAACGGAATTATACAGTGTGTAAAAGCCAAATGGAATAAATTCATTATTCAAGAGAAAAATACTACTCCTACCTTCAACCCCCGCCGAATGACAGGTACAACCCCTAACTTTTTGAATGGGAAGTATATGCTTGTGATAAATCTTTTGAAAGGTCTTTTCATTCTCTATTCGAAAATGTATCCACTTTCAACTTTATTACAACAATTAAGATAAAATTAATTAAAATGATACGGTTACCGAAATTCGATAAAATATACTCAAAACTTATTGCAACATACTCAAAACTCAACATACTCATGTTGAGGTATTGATAATAAGAAAGAAAGCAAAAACCATAGCAATTTTCTATTTAGATGATATCCTTTAAAAAACTGTAAATAATTTCCGTGGCAACATTAGTTTAAAACGCTTTGTCAACTTGTTTTCTATGTTACAACATTAAATGTCAGTATTTTAAGTTTTAAGTTCGTTAACTTCAAGTCTGACAAATGGTTATATTAACGGAAATTCATAAAATAACAGTTTTACAAATGATTGGTTATGGAGATAAAATCCGAACACAACAGGAAGTAGCTCGCCTATTTCATGAGAAATTTCCTGATTCATCGCTCATATCTCAAGGAACAATAAGCAAAATATAGAAGCAGTTTCGCAAACTTGGTCATGTGGGGCAGATACAAAAAGCAGCTGCCACTGCAATGAGTAATGAACTCGAATTAGATGTGATGCTTGAGTTTGAGGAAAACCCACATATATCTAGTAGACAGGCATCCACCACATTCATGGTTAGCCATATACCGATAGTAAACATAATAAAATAAAATAAAAGGCATCCCTATCAAAAAAGGAGCTCATGGAAGACGATGTTGATAGAAGAACTCATTTTTGTTAGCAAATGATGAACATGTTGGATAACAATATCATCCAATTAGAAGACGTTATGTTTTCTGATGAGTGTACTTTGTCTCTTAGTAGTCATACTAATCGGCAAAATTTCCGCTACTGGTCAACGGAAAATTCTCACTGGATGAGAAAAGAACACACGCAAAACCCTCAAAAGGTTAATGTATTTAAGGAAACCATATCATTGGTCCCTTTTTCATTGAGGGCAATTTGAATGGCGATAATTATTTGGCACTACTTCAAAATGAGGGCATTTCAAGTTTATCAAATTTATATCCTGATCCAGGAAACCCACAAGTTCCAGTGAATACGATATGGTTTCAGCAGGATGGAACACCACCACATTACCAAGTTAATGTCCGGCAATACCTCGATACATTTATCAATCGGTGGATAGAGAGGCGAGGATTGATTGAATGGCCAGCGAGATCTTTCGTCATTAGATTTTTTGGGGATATGTATATGGGGAGAACTATGTACAGAACTCAACCTTCAGATTTGAATGACTCAAAATAAATTTGAGGTTTGAATAGAACTGACACAGTTCATTGTGGGTGAAGATATTGACGGTGACGGTTTGTGTTTTTCCAAAAGCGCAGCATTTCTTAAAATCGACTAATAGTCAGATTAAAAAATTTGGAGAACAATTATTCTCAAAAACTGTTTCCTCATCAATCAATATGTTTTACTTTCATTTTGTGAAATGATTATAAAAATAATTCCAATTATTTATAATCTCAGGTACCTCAGTGGTTAAGAGATGAATGGTGTGATGGTGATAAAAGCCCTGTGAGCGAAAAATCAACAAAATCTGAGAAATCTGATAATTCTGATCCACACATAAATGACGTATATGATCAGGATTGGTTGGATAGAGGGGCGGCAGATGGCAATTCCAATCAGCCTGATTCTGATTTTGGTAAGTAGTATGCTATATCATACATTTTTGAAAAAAATGGCATATATTTTGAATTTCATAAACTATATCTCCACAAAACTTTATTTGAAAAATATAACACGACATGTTTCGCTAACACAGTAGCTTCTTCAACAATGATTTGAATATAACAAGTTGCTTTTTACACTAATATTTATATACCACAGATAACAACAATTGGGACTACCTCCATCAAATTACCTGAACCTCTATAATTCTTATATACCTGAGGTACCTCTTCAGTTATGACTACCTGAAGCATATTACCTCACTTCTACATCAATAATAATACTTTCTCGGTTTTTTAAGAAAACAAGTTCATTAATGGTGATCTATCCAAATCCAGTCGGTCATTCATTAGAATGTTTGAACTTTTAAGTTCATTAATTTCATTTGCTTCCAAATGATTCAGTATCAAACCTTTATTTTCAACGAGTGAAATTTCGAACTCTTCGGTAAAGATATGATTTTCTTCTAAAAGATGATTTGAATATCTTGAACTTGTTTTCTTATTTACATAGCTCATGTGATGTTTCTGGATTCGATTCCTAAATGTTCTGTCAGTTTGACCAATGTATAGCTTAGGATACGTTTCACACTTGTCTTTATCATTTTCAACTAACTTTTCCAACGTATTACTTGTTCTAAATGCAATTTTAATATCTCGTTTCCACTTTTTCCGTTGTTTGTCCAAAATTCGTTAAAGTTTTATAATTTTGATTTTGATTATGTAACTCATCAATAGGAAAAACGTCTCGAGTCGCTTTTGCATAGACTTTTTCAGAAAGTATATTTATTTCGGTTTCAAACCCATCATCGCATTGTTTAATGCATATATCATGTCCGATTTAGAGTGTTTTTTGAGTAATATCATCAATTCGAAACGAAATTTGGACCCTGTCACTTCTTCAATTTCGATACCTATTTTTTCCATCTTGTAATCTTTCAGATACACAATCAGGAAATGTGATAAAGGAAAGTAATAGTAGGTAATGTATTCAAGTAACACTTTATTCTGAGGTTTTCACTGAACAGTTTACAAAACCGTAACAAGTGTTTCGCTATATAATAGCTTTCTCAGGCGTGTTCATACCGACTAAATTCTTTCTGATTTGTGCTTTATAACATAAAAAAATTTGAATCATATGACATTCCACCCAATTAATGCCTAATAATTTCAACATAAAATATAGATAAATATAGAAATGTCTACAGTATATGCTCATTCAATCTATCAATCTTCAATCTATTAATTTCCAAGAGGATAAGTTTCGAAACTTTCTCTTCCGAATTTAATATGTCATAGTCGTAGTTGAACTCATGCCTCCTGTCTAAAGATGCTTGACAAATGTGGAATTTGGGTCTTCACGATATATCTGACACTGGAGTTTTGTCTTTATTTTTTTTAATTAATTTGCTTAATATCATATACATATACAGCAATTGAAAGAGATTGTTCATAACTGGTACCTGTGATTAAAATACATAATGATGCAAGTCTCACCACATCTGCGTCGTTTTGCTTGGATTTCTTGAAATTTGTGGTCAATCATTAAACATAACCTCGAATTTTCGAGAAAGAATGGCAGACTATTTTTTCAGAAACTACTATGCTCATCTAAAAGAAATGAGAGTACCTTCCTCAAATCAACAATGTACAGGCTTCCTGAAAAACTCAGAATATGAAAAAAACCTTCATGAAAACTTTTAAAATTGTATATTCACCAATGTTCGTGTATACAGTGTGTCTCACTTCTCATGGAAACACCGCCGTATCTTCCGTAATATTCGAGGTAGAACGATGAAACTCTCTGGACTGATGGAAATACTCAAAATGCACCTACCACATGAATGGGGTTGGCGAAAGTGATATACACTGTCCGCCACTCGCGATGGAACACCCCATTTTTACGGTAAAATATATCAGGGGGCAAAATAGGCTCAAAATCCCTTCAGATTCGTGATCAGGACTACCAACTTACTACGATTACACTTTTTTCCTGAAAAAATTTCAGTCCTGAAAAATGGGAATTTGTTTCACTTCTCATGGAAACACCCCCGTATCTTCCGTAATAATTGAAGTAGATTTTTTTTTTATTTTGACATCGAAACATGACCGAAATTGTTTAAGAGAAACTCGATTTTAGTTTTCACATAAATGATTTATTTTTTATTTTGTTGTCAGGAAAGTTATTCCTTCTCAATAAGAGAGAAAATGGTAATTTTGTAAGAGAAACGGAAACATGTAATCAGTGAGGTTTTAGGATGGTTAATGTTAGTTCATATTCTCATTTTCCCATTATTTAAAAAAAAACAAGGATATTTTGTGGCGAAAAATGTTATGTAGTTCAAAATTCTTTCGAAGTACTACTTTCAAAATCACATTTTCAATTAAAAAACACAACAATCAATTTCAAATGATTTAACTGTTGACAATTGTATATTTTCGTGTCTTCTATGAAATTTCCCTCAAATCGAACACATTTCTCTATGCGCCTTCTATTATTTCCTCCAACTCTTCTCAGTTCTCTTGGTGTGACCTCTACACGCTTGTATAATTATTGCACGGAGATTTTCCTTATTTGTTGGCCTATCCTTATTAGCTTCATTTTTCAAGTTTCCTCATAAATAAAAATCTAGTGGAGTTAAATCTAGGGATCGTGGTGGCCATACTACGAGAGGGCTATTGGGTTCTATCCATTTCATAGGTAGATTCTTATTCAACCAAACCCTTATTATGCCACCATTGTGAACTGTTGAACCATCTAACTGAAAAATCATGCTGTGTCTCACATCCAAAGGTAGTTCTTCCAACACATCGGAAAATGCATTCCGAGAAAATCAACGAATAGTCGTCCGTTTAAATTTTGATCGAAAAAAAGGCCTGATAATATTTTCGTTCAGGATACCACACCACACATTAACTTTCTGAGATATTTGGTCTCTACAATTCACCACCCAATTTGGATTTCAGCCCAAAACCTCATAAACAATACTCAATTCGGCAGATTTCATCTCCTTCGTGCAAAGTATGTAGAAATTTGGGTTTGAACGCATGCATTTTATGTCCCTTGTTGGAAAAATAATCGTACTTATAGCAGGGGAGCCCACGATGCAAAATGGGGATTTACTCGAGCGTCATTGAGACATATTAGTTTGCAAAGCTTAGATGATGAAAAGAAAAAAAATGTTATATAATATATACCTTTTCATCGGTGGGGGAAGCGGCTATAGATTTTTAAATATGTAAAAAATACTGTTGCATACTCGAGCGAGTCAGATTTTGATAGCATCAATGTCCTACGTATTTTCAATAATGTAGATATGATCTGATCGTTTGCATGATGTGGGTGGTTGTACGTAAGGGTTGAAAGTGAAAAGAAAAAAATGTAATCGAGCTCGTCAGATTTTTCAAGAGGGTGTTAAGTGCAACAAAAAAAAGCTCTCATTCAATAATCTGACTCACTCTCAAATTGTCAGATTATTGGAATATACACTTTTTAGCGGGTAATTAATTCACACTACCACAATCTGACGCGCTCTGATAACCATTTTTTTTTACTAATCTGGCGGCCTTATATATGGGACTCATATTTGGTGGAGGTACTCAACCGGGTAAAAGGTATTCCCCTGTATATTAATCTGCCGCTTGGGCTTCCCTACTATTACCTTACATCAAAAAATATGAAAAGTAATGGGAATACTATTATACAAATATAAAAAACTATTTGTTTACCATTTATTGCTTTCCCCACGAACGGCAACCCTCAAATGTGTGCGAGCCACGGATTAACGAGGCCACACCTTTCAACATGCGATTCCTACATACATGGGGATAACTCGATTCCATTCAATTTTCCGATCACTCCCATTTTGTTATCAAGTGATGAACTTTTGCAAAATATCTATTTCTTTACCACATTGAAAATTTTTCGTAGGGCCCACTTCTTTCCACTTTACGAGTCCATGTTTTATTCTTGGTTTCCGTTACAAACTATATATTCCAAAACGAACTGTCAGCGAGTATGTTAGACGTTTTAGAACCTACTTTACTACCTACTTGAATTCTCAAGGCTTACTTGCGATTGAAGATAATTGAATTTGAATTTGAATGTTTTGAATTTGCGCATCTATGATTCCCCCCGAATGTAATGATTTATGAATCTAGTCGACAGTGATTAGTTCGAAGGTGTGCGTTATTTTCAATTCGATTAAAAAAATCATGTAATTGTGTCGCTAGTATTATAATAAAGTTAAATGTACCATATTTCATGAGTCTTGTACTGTCTGAAGAAAATGAAAAATAATGATGATAGCGATGATACTGTTGATGACGATATCACTCGACATAAAAAAAATTGTAATTGCCAACAGTTCATAATTACTCTTTTTTTTCAGACGAATTTTCTTCACAATGTAGCAGTTCAGGTGGCAACATTTGTTCCACAGAAGAAAGCCCTGTTCAGCCTATAGGAACTTGCAGAGCTATATATCCCTATACCCCTAATATGAATGATGAGTTGGCTTTGAAACCAGGAGACATTCTTTCGGTATATCGGCAACAGGATGACGGGTGGTGGTTGGGAGAATGTAATGGAAATGTGGGTATCTTTCCCGCCACCTATGTTGAAGTAATTAAAGACTGCTGATTATTTTTTATGGATATATAATCGGGTATAAGTATATGATATCCACTTCTGATTTGACTGGATCTGGTTCAATCTGATCTGCTCTAACTATATATTTAATCTATAAAAATGAAGAGGATTCGCATCTTGGAAGTGTTGTGGTGAAGAAGAATCCAACAATTGATTTTTCCGATGTATCACGTTGAATTCTCGAATAAGCTGAAGGGAAAGATATCAATGCTTCCATGAGGACATACATTATCTTCGATTTCTCATAAACGTACAAGAAGTGTTCATACTTTTAGGTGGTGAATCCATAGTGCAATTTCAATCGTACGACACCAACTAATTTCGAGAAAAAAATTATTTTGTACAAAATGTTACAGTTAATTATAAGAATTTAATATTTATAAACTACTTGTTTCAGTCCCATGATATTTTTGTATCAATATAATTACTATTTGTACATGATATACTCACAAAGTACTTTTGGAATTTGATTTGTTCTATAATAAATATTTTATTATCGATTATTTTGTTTCACTTCCGAATATATTTATTGTTCACAACAACAAAGACGTCGATGACATTTGAGTCTATTATTTACTCATCATATCAATTCCAGATGGAATTCATGAGGGGTCGGATCCAGATTTCTTTCGTCATGGTCTGTGACCAAGAGAAGGCAGGGATTCCAGATGGTCTCTTTATATTTCATTAATGGTTTCAATGTATGTACACCGACTCCTTTCTGTCTTAAGAGAGCATTTTCGATATTAATACAGCTACTGATAAAACACTATGGAAGATATTGAATCCATTGTTGACAACGAAAAGTGGCGATGGTGTCGGAACTAATTACTCATCAACCTGTGGGAAAAATACTCATTTGATTTTTGGACATCTACGATATAGTAGTTCTGAGGCAAGGAAGAATCCCATTATAAAAGGGAAATAATCGGAGGTTGTTTCAAAACTTTTGTTTTATTTAGGAAAGTTGAGATCAGAATGAGTGTGAGATACCTGGGAATTGTGGTTGACTGTGGAATTCTGTTCATAGAACACCACAAGGAGGTTAGGAAAAACGTGAGTGTGCTAGAAGGAAAAATGAGAAGATGGACCGGGCGGGACATCGGACTAAGGAGAGAATGAGTTAAAGTGATATATGAGAGGGTAGCCAAGCCTGCAGTCATGTATGGAAAGCAAGTGTGGGGGAGTAGAATACATGATAGCAGAGTGAGGAGACAACTGAGCGCGACGCAGAGGCCTTTTCTGATCGCTTCATGTGGGGCGTACAGAACGTCACCGGGAGCTGCGCTCAGCGTGATCTCGGGTATCGCACCACTTTACCAGGGCTAGATACCATGGATAGAGAGCAAATGGGGAAAGAAAGATTAGATCAGATTAGATAAGATTTTTTTTGGTCAAGTTATTACACCTTAGTGCTATGACAAATCAATAATGTATAAAATAAATGTAAATTACAATTAAAATTACCGAAAACGGGTAGGTAGTGCATAAAAATTGTATATGATACAAGCACAAAAAAAGTAAATAAATATATAAATTTAAAAATAAAAATGTGAAAATGAAGAAACATAGAGACAGTACCTACATTGACGATAGTCACTCTGTAAAGCTGAAGACAGACGCATCATAGTAAGCATTTTCTAACAGATGTTTTTTCAGTTTCCGTTTGAAATTAGCGAGGGTTGCATTTTTCATTGATTGGGGCAATGAGTTGTACAATGATATGTATGAGTTACATCTCCTTGTTATTTCTAGTCTTTAGTTTGGTGCTCTAATATTATCCTTGTTCCCAGTATTATAACAATGGCTGTTACCGTTTGTAGTAAACTTTTGTAAATTATCTTGAATGTGTATCAAATTGCAGTATATTACACATGATGGCAGAGTTAATATATTAAACTTACAATTCGTACAGCTCTCCATTTGAAATATTCCAGCTAAGGCTCTATTTGCTCTTTTTTGAATTTCAAATATCCTCGAGATATGAACAGACGTGCCCCAGTTTATCAATCCATAAATTAAGAAACTATGAAACATTGCGTGATAAGCGGTATGGGCAGCTTCATTACCGACTTTATTTTTTATCTGCCTGATTGCATAGACCTTGCATGATAGATTTTTTGCTAGTTTGTCAATATGAGGTTTCCAAGTTAACTTTGATTCAATGGTTATACCAAGACATTTCACATTATTTGAGAGGTTATGGGACAGCGAGAACATAACTGTTTGTGACTTGCTTTTATTCACACATAGGCTATTCGCATTAAACCAGACCGTAGCTTCTTGAATAACTCGCTTTTCTAATTCTGATGACTCTTCAATACTTTTTTTTCCGAATGGCGAAGGAAGGTTCATCGGCGAATAGCATTCTAAACATTGTCATTGAATTTAGCAGGTCATTAATATAAATCAAGAAAAGTAGTGGTCCAAGCACACTACCTTGTGGAACACCATTCAATATCGTTTATAAGCTACTGAGTTCTTCATTATATGATACACATTACTTTCTCTCAGTTAGATATGATGCTAGCAGATTGTGTACTATGCCTACAAATCCATAGTATCTCAGTTTTTCTAATGAAATGTCAGTAGAGACGCAGTCGAACGCCTTGCTCAGATCGAGAAATATGCCAAGTGTCGATTCTTTGTTACCGAAACCTTCAGTTATGAAGTCGACTAATTCGAGCACTGCTTTCGACGTGCTTCTTCCTTTCCTGAATCCAAACTGTCTAACTGTCAAGATATTTGTGTACTCCAAATAATTTATCATTCTTATTGCCATTATTTTGTCTACAATTTTTGCAATTACTGGAAGTAGTGCAACTGGTCTGTAGTTTGAAGGAAGATTGATATCACCACTTTCAAAGACCGGAATTATCTTTGCAATTTTTAATTTTGATGGAAATACACCAGATTTCAGAATCAAGTTGACAAAACATGTAATTGGTCCTAGTAGCGCAGATAGATTTTCCTTGTACATAACCACTGAGTGTTCGTAAATATCAAGCGAGCCCGAGTTTTTTTAGGGATTTGATGACTTATATATTAGGAGCATGGTAGAGATATTATCTATCAATCGCTCTCCACATGGAGAGCGATAGATAGATACGACAATACATCTTTGTTTCAATAGCTTAATGCAGCAAGTTTCAGTGTGCTTTTCCATGTTATATTCATTCAAAGCATCAATTTTTTCAAACAAAATATCATTTCTAATAAAAATACATACTCCTCCGTGAATTTATATGGATCTCGAAAAGGAACTAGCTAATATATAATTTTCCATTTTACAATGTCAAAATGATGTTGCAGTATAATTGTTTTAAGGGAGTTCGGCTTATTTCTGAGACATTGTATATTAACATGCATTATCTCAAGTCGAGTTTCCGCTTTCCTAATTCTAAAAAAGTTTTATGGAGATTTTATACGTTGATTACATTGGCCTCCTCACAATTTCCTCACAAATTTATTTAAGATTGAGGACAGGGTGGAAGAGACTGATAAGGTACTCCCCTGGATGCAAGGGTTGCTGCTGGAGGAAGCGGAGGATGAAGGTATGGTCGAGGTGTACTTGGATGCCGAAGCGAATATGGAAAACGGCAGAATGGGTATAGGTTGGGCGTACGAAAGGACTGAGGGTGAATGAGTACATGGAAATGAACGAATCACTGGACATTGCAGCGTGAACGATGCAGAATTGATTGATAGGTATATGTAGTACGAATGAGAGCGTGATTCTGCCATGTCTGAGGAGCGGATGAATGCGGTACGAGTAAAGAATAAGAGGGTGCCTATGATTCAGAGAATGATTGAGGCAAGGAGAGAAAGGTATGGCGTAGGGGTCATCAGAGCGGCAACCTCGGTAATAAGAAGGCTCATGAAGAGACAACTCGAAGCCTCAACCTCGAACGTGTCACTAGGAATGTGAGGAAAATGGACAGTAAGAATGAGGAGAGAAAAAGGATAAAAAAGCACGTCATAGCAGAGGGAATGGGAAGACGGAACGACTGGGCGGCTGTTATACAGGTACTGTAGAACGGTCGGATTTGAATCGCTCAATCTGTCGAGGAAAGCTGAAAACTTTCCTGGTTACCTATCCAGTGTCAACCTGGGACCTGAGGTTCAGTGCCCCTATGGCTGAGGGGAGCCCGAAACAGCAGAGCATGTGCTTGAGAGATGCATGGAGGGCGTGGATGTGAAGAGCGACTCGAACGAGAAAACGGAGAAATGCAACTTAGGGGTGTGAATGGAAAGAAATGGAAATGGATTCGCTTTGTGAATGAATGGGCAGAGAGTGTGGTGAGGGATGAAAAGGAACAATGGGCAAGCTGCCAAAAGGAAATCTGAGAGGAAAGGCGGTGAATGGTTCGCCCCAGTCCTGGCATGGACTTGGTGTGTGAACTCAGATTGCTGATAATTTCTGGACGCTAGATAATGTAACAAGTGGATTATTGTTTTTTTTTATTTTGTTACCTTGTTATTCATCAAGGACTATATAGGGGAATGTTATTAGTTAAGTGTATTAAGGGAAATGTAAACATTTAAGTTGAAGTTAGGGTAAAGTCTTTACTGTAATTATGTTATTTTGGGAAATTAATAAAAATGGGTCTTCTACCCCGCTGGTTTCGTCCCTTCGTGTGGCCGGCGTTACGCACCTACTGCACGAAGGGGGGGTGAGTTCGGAGGAGTAGCGGTTCCCTTGACAGTGGTGGCGCTGGATAGAGGAAAGATGCCTAGTTGTAATGCTTTCAAACCAGGCCAGCGAAAGGCGATGGCATTATTCATGTCTTAAGAGAACATTTTCGATATTAATACATCTACTGATAAAACACTATGGAAGATATTGAATCCATTGTTGACAATCAAAAGTGGCGATAGTATCGAAACAAAATACTCTTCAATCTTAGGTGAGAAAAATACTCATTTGATTTTTGTCCATCTACGATATAGTAGTTCTAAGGTAAGGAAGAATCCCATTATAAAAGAGGAAAATAATCTGAGGTTGTTTCAAAAGTTTTGTCCGTTTTGATATTTTTAAAACTACATATCCCAATTGATATTTATGCTACTGTGTACTCTATATATTAATGCTGTTAATTTTTTCAAAATCTCAATTATTTTGCCTTTCTCCAGCTCATTACTATATGATGTAGGTGAGCGATTTTCGACCAATTTTCCTCTACGAATTCAAATTAAACCAAAGCGCTGCCGAAACAGACCGGAAAATCAATTTGACAACTAGACCTTTGGCAACGATAGTGTTAATGACGGCACTGTCCGACGTTGGTTTGCAAAATTTCGTTTCGGAGATTTTAGCTTCGAAGATGATCCCCGAAGTGGTCGAACCGAAGTAATCCAGGACGAGGAATTGAGGAACCTGGTGGATACTGACCTATCACAAACGTTCCGAGGTCTGTTCTTTTTTGCTTTCGCGCAACTAAAACGATTCTTTTTTTGATCGGATCTTTACCTGTGATGAGAAGTGGATCCTCTACGACAAC